CCCCCCCCCCCCCCCCCCCATACACACACTTCACTGTTCCGACCCAAACTCTTCTCAGCTGAATTCAGCCCTGCGCGTTGTTGCTCTTGCTCTAATCTCGATTGCCACTGCCTTCAGGTGCTTTCTTGGTTGCCCAACTAAGGTCAATCCATCCATCTATTTTATGAAAGTAAATTGTCTTTTCGACATTTTGATTGCTGTTATTTTGACAAATTAGCACCGGTGTTTTGAAAAGTGATGTAATGTGAATAATGCATATCAAACATTTCTCTCGTATTTAAAAAAAAAACTTTTAACTGTAGGCATTTTTATTTATTATGTCTGAAATGTATGCGTGAGTTCCGACACATTAGCAGCTGTGCACACGTGCTCTGTAGAGCTGTCTTGAGACACTCCTGTGCGTAACGTGCACTGTCCGCAGGGCGCACCGCTGAAGGTCGATGAAGACACTTCATTCCCGCAGGACATGCCGCCCGCGTCTCTGCTGGGAAGAAGCATGTGCGCGAGCTGGTGCGCATAGTGTAGCCGGAACACCCACTCCTCAGACTGGGCAACGTCTTCTCTCGTTGTACTTTTAGTAAATAATCAAAATAAAAATGTGCCATGACTTTGGACTTTTAGGGGCGGAGATCTGAGTTGCCGGATCCGAGCAAACAGTTGCCAGAACACGTCCCGTCAAAATGAGAGAGTTCCAGGATCTTGTTCTGGTAGGATCTGTCTTGAATTAAGCACTGGATTTGGGGCTATATAAACAAACTGAATTGATCTGAATTGAAAGGTTAGTCAAATAGGTGAACAGGGCCTAAATATCCCCACACCCGTTTACCTGGCATGTCCCATGTGTGACGCATCATAAACTGTTGGCCCGCAGCAGTACCACGTCACCTTATTTCCCTTCTGGGGAACAAACGGCTCCTGAAATATGAAGACAATTAAACTGCATCAGAATTTTAGGTCCAAAGAAGTAAAAACGATCCCAGTCATTTTCATAGACACATACACATATACATATACAATTATACAGAATATTGGTCCAGAAGACAACACAAGTTTAAGGTTCCTTCTTATCATTTGCATCACATGCGATACATGAGGTGGAACAAAACTGTGTACACAAGGTCCCAGTTACACCCAAAAAAAAAGTATAAAAAGAAACAGTACACAAGGATCTAAGATACACACTAAACAATAATAATGTAATCTAATGAGGTGTATTAAACATCAGCCTGAAAATCAGTCTATTTTGAGGAGATGGGTTTAAATATATTAGCTTATGGGTAATAAATCATCAGCATGGAAAATAAGCAACACAGATAAAGTGATAAATCTCCAATTAAAGTGGCAGTATAGTAGTCCCTCGCTACTTCGCGGTTCGTTTTTCGCTGATTCCCTTCGTGGTTTTTCAAAGTAAGATTGGACATGACACAATTGGCTGATTGATGGATGAACTATGGATTGTTTAATCCAAAAAAAGGTTAAAAACTAAACAATTGGACTTTATCTGTAACTGAAGACGTTTCGCTTCTCATCCGAGGAGCTTTCTCAATTCAATGAAACGGAGTGTGGGATTCAAGTTATAAAGCTCTGGAGTTCTGTAAACTTGCATAATGGAGATAGACACATGCAGATTGACCTCTCACTCTTCACAATAGAGGATCGTTAGGGTCATTGTTAGTCCCATCCACAGAGGGGCCACTCTGGTCACATGGTTGGAATTCCTGTTTCATTGAATTCAGAAAACTCCTCGGATGAGAAGCGAAACATCTTCAGTTACAAATAAAGTCCAGTTGTTTTGTTTTTAACTTGTTTTGATTTACCATGTCCTGGATGACTGAAAATCTCCACCAGCCATGGATTGTTTGTATAAAATAAATTATTTTAAATGATTTTGCACCATGTGTGCAGACCACAAGTGCAGGAGAAGCTCCCTCCTGCAGCTGATCAGCTGATCTCCTTCTCTGCCACACATTTATTTCTCCTGCTGCAGCAGCTTCATGGGGTGGCTGTGGCTGAGAGGTTAGAGCAGTCGTCCTCCAATGCGAGAGTTGGGGGTTCGAATCCACCAGCAGTCACATGCTGAAGTGTCCCTGGGCAAGACACTGAACCCCTCATAGCCTCTGATGTGTGTCCCATCAGTGTATGAATGTGATAAAGCTCTGATTAGTCTCTTTAGAATGATTTGTTCAATTAGCTTTGTAGAGATCTAGTAGAGTGCTGTATGAATGGGTAAAGTACTTTGAGTATCATGAAATAAAATAGAAAGGCGCTATATAAGTACAGTCCATTTATGAAGGACTAACCCTTTGCAGTCCAGATGCACCGATCAACTTTTGTCTTCCAACTTAAAATTCAAAGTATGTCACAACATAAATCATCATAATCACAAAATACAAAAGTGTTAAAAGTTATTTTAAATTATTTTAGATCTTCTATGTTCAGTTGTTTCAGTGTCATTGATCCAGAAGTTTCTGCTCCGGGCTGCAGAGCTGATGCTGCGTGACATCCTGTGATGTCCTGCTGCACTTCTCTTCTCTACATTTAAATACTGTAACATTTTAAATAAATAATCCATGCTGCATGGATTTATTTAAAATGTTACAGTGTTTAAATTTAAAATTTTTATTCAAGGAGGGAGAATGGGAGTAATAGGTGATGTGTGATTACAGCCTGGCACATGTCATGACAAACTTTACTGAACTTGAACTGAACTTGAATGTGGACTACTGTCTCCCTTCTTTGATGTTTTTCACTTATCGCGGGGGGTGCGTGGTCCCTAACACCCACGATAAATGAGGGACCACTGTATAGTGATTTTTATGGTTAGATATTCATGAGTCTAACAGCCTCAGGGTAGAAGCTGTTCCTCACTCTAGTGGTTCTACACTTAATGCTCCTCAACCTCCTTCCTGAGGGGAGCGGGGCAAAAAGTGTGCTGGGTGAGTGGGGTCCTTCATGATACAGGTAGCCCTCTTCCTGCATCTAGAGGTGTAGATGTCTGTGATGGTGGGGAAACTGACTCCAACAGACTTCTGTGCAGCCTTCACCACTCTCTGCAAAGTTTTTCTTTCCGCAGCTGTGCAGCCTCCATGCCACACGTTGATGCTCGAGCACAGGATGCTCTCCACTGCACACCTGTAGAAGGAGGTGAGAACTGAGCTTCTCAGACCAGCTCGTCTCAGCCGCCTGAGGAAGTAGAGTCTCTGATGAGCTTTCTTGATCAGGCTGGAAGTGTTGCCCTAGCTGAGGTTGTCATTCAGGTGCACACCCAAGTACTTGTAGCTAGTGACCACTTCCACCGCAGATCCTCTTATGTTCAGGGGTGGCAGGGTGGGGGAGGGTGCTTGCCCCATTTGAAATCCACAATCATCTCCTTTGTCTTCTTCACATTGATGTGAAGGTTATTCTCTTTGCACCAGCTGTCCAGGTGTTCCACCTCTTGCCTGTAGCTGGACTCATCATTGTTTGTGATGCATCCCACCACCACTGTATCATCTGCAAACTTTACAATGTGACAGCCTGGATGGGTAGCTGTGCAGTCATATGTGAGCAGAGTAAACAGGAGTGGGCTCAGCACACATCCCTGAGGGGAGCTAGTGCTGATGGTTATGGGTGGTAAATGGTAAGTGGACAGTACTTATAGTAGTAGCTGAAACTAGCAGAAATTAGCTGAAAGGAGCATAACAAGCTGAAATTGACAAAAAGATGTTAGAAGCTCAAAAATGTTGTAGTAAGCAGAAAGAATGTGAAAGGAGCAGTAAAAATTTGTAAACAGATCTAAAAATTTGAAGGATGTGAAATGAGCTCAATTCATTTTCTATGAGAAAAAAAAGGCAGAAAAAGCTAAATATTTCAAAAAGCTAAAGTTGCACCAATACCAAAAGTCATAGCAGGATTGCCCTGAAAGAGATGGACGTTTTGATTTATGATTTGTTGAAATAGCAAAAAAAAAGTGTGGAAAGAGAAAGATGCTGAATCACTTACAGAAGAAAAATGGATCATAATAGTGTGAATGCTCCCACACGTTGGAAAAGAGTGAGCAGCACAAACAGCACCCTGCCATCTACCACCGTTATTGTTGCTTACTGGCCCGTGCAGAAAAACTATAGAGTGCAGCCATCTGTAGAGCAGGGCTTTTCCAAAGGCCTCCACTTTAAGATCTGGATTCAAAAAGCTTTGGTTTGAGAGAAAACGAGTGCCATCATCTTATACATTATATATCTGAGACGTGGCAGAAAGGTTATCACTCAAAAACAACATTGTGCAAACATTATCATTTACTTGATTTCAGACACAATATATGAGCCATATAAAAAAAACAGAAAAACAACAAGAACGCAGAGTTAAAATGTTTTTCTTTAGAGGCTAAAACACCAATGAGTCCATAAAGTAGAAAAGTATCACACAGAGCTTAGTCCAGGGTTGGTCAGTGTAGCGATGATACAGTTTTCAGATTCAGACAACCTACACATGCACCTACACATGAGGTTACGCAGCACCACAGGGCTTCCACACACATTTTGCTTGCACTGCTCCACTGCGGTACCCTCAGCAGCATCTGCATGCCATCATTATATGCCACATTGAGTCTATACATACTACTCCTTTTATAACGTCTCCACAGGTGAGCGGTATACAGGAGTGCAGTAGGCCTTAAACAGCTGGATCTTAACTGATCCAGATAGGGATGCACCTATCCAACTTTTCCACTTCCGATCTGCTGTTCCATGTCGACCGATACGATATGATACAGACCTGATACAGAAAAACAGTGCTGAATTCTGTTCAACGAACTCAGCGTGCTCTTTAGGGTGAAATCTCTGGAGATGCTTGATTATGTTAGTAGTGTTATAACTGGAAGTTTTAGGGACACCCCTTGGAACAGTCACTGTGCACATATTGCACGTAGCTGTTGAATGTGTTGGCTGGCGTAGTGTGAAATAGTTCCAGATGGCTGATCCTTTCGCTCGCTCCATTTTGAAAACAATCTCGAGTTTGCTAGCACGTGACATCACTCAGAGCACAAAGCATAGAGTTAGAGTGAATAGATATGCCCAGTCATGGATCACCAATACCCGATCCAGAATTTTTTTTCAATATCGGGTCCAATACTGATATTGGTATTAGAGCGGTGCATCTCTAATTCCAAACCTACGGATCAGCGTGTTAGCTTGTCCATAGAGCAAACGATATCGTCTTAAATGTCAATATGATCTGACAGGTCTGCAGTCACATATGAGGGGCGGCTGTGGCTGAGTGGTTAGAGCAGTCGTCCTCCGATGCAAGAGTTGGGGGTTTGAATCCACCAGCAGTCACATGTCGAAGTGTCCCTGGGCAAGACACTGAACCCCTCATAGCCTCTGATGTGTCTCCCATCAGTGTATGAATGTGATAAAGCTCTGATTGGTCTCTTTAGAATGATTTGTTAAATTAGATTTGTAGAGATCTAGTATAGAGTGCTGTATGAGTGAGTAAATGAGGCACAGATTGTAGTGTAAAGCGCTTTGAGTATCTTGAAATAAGATAGAAAGGTGCTATATAAGTGCAGACCATTTACCATTCCATTTACATAGTGCCCCAAGTATTTACATTCATTACCGACATTCAGTCTGTTGCCCGACAGAAAGAAATCAGGGAACATCAACTCGGAGTCCTCTCTGCTCGGCACAATCATGATGCTGCTTTTCTTAGAATTATATTATATATCAAAGTCTCTTCCATAACCAGAGCATGCCTGCAGCAGCTCTTGCAGGCCAGCAGTATAAGGACAGAACATTACTAAATCATCAGCATACATTAAATGGTTGATGATCCTGTTACCAAGCCACAGTCACACCTTTAAAGTGCACACATTTACATTTGTTTTCACTTGTAGTAAAAAGATGGAGCAACGACGGCAGATTAAAAAAATATTATTTTAATCATTCCTGATGAATATAAATGCTTCACTTAAACTTCACAAGAATCATTTGAAGGTAAGATAAAGTTTCCTCCTGGTTGTAGACACTAACCATCACATGCAAATGATGATGTAATATTTTCTTAACGTGAAGCTACTTGTGTGAATGAAGCATTCAAACTATTGTCTATTGCCTACTATTATTGGGGAGTGGTGGAGCAGAGGTTAGAGAAGGTGGGCCTGTGATCTGAAGATCGCCGGATCAAGCCCCAGTACCGACAACATCAAAAATGTGGGTGGGGAAGGTGAAGCACCCACACATGCCCCCACCCTCATTCGCCCCCACTCTGGGCCCATGAGCAAGGCCCTTAACCCCCACCATCTGCTCCTAAACAGGTCTCTCTTGAAAATGAGTTCTCGTGGCTCAATGAGACTACCTGGATAAATAAAGGCTAAATTAAAAAAATATATATATTGTCATCCATTTTTCTTCCGTACGATTCAGCATCTTTCTCGTTCCACAAGTTTTCATCTATTTCAACAAATAAAATAAATAAATCAAAACGTTCAACTCTTTCAGGACAATCCTGCTGTGACTTGTGGTATTGGTGCAACTTTAGCTTTTTTAAATATTTAGCCTTTTCTGAAATTTTTTTCCTCAAAGAAAATGAACTGAGCTCATTTTACCTCCTTCACATCGTTAGATCTGTTTACAACCTTTTATTGCACCTTTCACATTTTGTTCTGCTTCAGTTTCGTTCTGCAAATTTAAATGTTTTTCAGCTAATTTCAGCTCTTTTTTTTAATTTTTTTTTAGCTAATTTCAGTTGTTTTTTAGCAAGTTCTTCTGCAATAAGCATTCTCACTGCATTTTTGCAGGAAATGCAATTTCTGTAGTTAAAATGTCGGTTAGTTTTCACTTCTACAAAACCAGACTGATTTAGGGCTGGGCGATATGAGCCAAAATATATATCTCTATATTTGTTAAGATAAATAGCGATATACGATATATATCTCAATATTTTTTTTCTCCATAAAGTACAAACCGGATTCCAAAAGAGATGTGAATAAAAACTGAATGCAATGATGTGGAGATGGCAAATGTCAATATTTTATTCGTAATATAACATAGACGACAGATCAAAAGTTTAATCTGAGTAAATGTAACATTTTAAAGGAAAAATATGTTGATTCAAAATTTCACAGTGTCAACAAATCCCAAAAAAGTTGGGACAAGTAGCAATAAGTGGCTGGAAAAAGGAAATTGAGCATATAATGAACAGCTGGAAGACCAATTAACACTAATTAGGTCAATTGACAACATGATTGGGTAAAAAAAGAGCTTCTCAGAGTGTCAGTGTCTCTCAGAAGCCAAGATGGTAAGAGGATCACCAATTCTACCATTGTTGTGCAGAAAGATAGTGCAGCAATACCAGAATGGTGTTACCCAGCGTAAAATAGCAAAGACTTTTAAGTTATCATCATCAACCGTGCATAACATCATCAAAAGTTTCAGAGAATCTGGAACAATCGCTGTGCGTAAGGGTCAAGGTCGTAAAACTCTACTGGATGCTCGTGATCTCCGGGCCCTTAAACGTCACTGCACCTCAAACAGGAATGCCACTGTCAAGGAAATAACAGAATGGGCTCAGGAATACTTCCAGAAAGCATTGTCAGTGAACACAATCCACCGTGCCATCCGCCGTTGCCAGCTGAAACTCTACAGTGCAAAGAGGAAGCCATTTCTAAGCAAGCTCCACAAGCTCAGATGTTTGCACTGGGCCAGGGGTCATTTAAAATGGAGTGTGGCAAAATGGAAGACTGTTCTGTGGTCAGATGAGTCACGATTTGAAGTTCTTTATGGAACACTGGGACACCATGTCATCTGGACCAGAGAGGACAAGGATAGCCCAAGTTGTTATCAACGCTCCGTTCAGAAGCCTGCATCACTGATGGTATGGGGTTGCATGAGCGCTTGTGGCATGGGCAGCTTGCATGTCTGGAAAGGCACCATTAATGCAGAGAACTATGTTCAGGTTCTAGAACAACATATGCTCCCATCTAGACGTCATCTCTTTCAGGGAAGACTCTGCATTTTTCAACACGATAATGCCAGACCACATTCTGCAGCAATCACAACATCATGGCTACGTAGGAGAAGGATCCGGGTACTGAAATGGCCAGCCTGCAGTCCAGATCTTTCACCTATAGAGAACATTTGGCACATCATAAAGAGGAAGGTGCGACAAAGAAGGCCCAAGATGATTGAACAGTTAGAGGCCTGTATTAGACATGAATGGGAGAGCATTCCTATTTCTAAACTGGAGAAACTGGTCTCCTCTGTCCCCAGACGTCTGTTGAGTGTTGTAAGAAGAAGGGGGGATGCCACACAGTGGTAAAAATGGACTTGTCCCAACTTTTTTGGGATTTGTTGACGCCATGAAATTTAGAAACAACAGATTTTTCACTTAAAATGAAACATTCTCTCAGTTTAAACTTTTGATCTGTGATTTGTTCTATTCTGAATAAAATATTAGATGTTGGCACCTCCACATCATTGCATTCAGGTTTTATTCACAATTTGTTTAGTGTCCCAACTTTTTTGGATTCTGGTTTGTAATAACAAAAATATATTTGAGTCAAAGCTTTGACCCAGTTGTCACACAGCCACATTTATTAACAGCTGTAACTAGAAAATAAATATCTAAAATATAAACTATTTACATATACTGAATAGTTTATTTTTTAGACATTTATTTACATATATTAACCGGCACCGGAGGAGGGGGGCGTGCAAAAGACACCATCTTAGCACCAACATAACTGGTTTGTTCCACTTTGGAGTAAGCTGTTTGGGGAAGAATCAGTTTTGTGTTGTGTTTCCTTGACTGATGAAGCCTTCTGGATGGAAGGTGAAACGTTTCAGCAACAAACAAAAAAAGACACTGTCCAGATGATGTGACTGAAAATTGTTAGGAGAGAGAGGTGGTGCAACATTAATTAATCAGCAGTTTATCATATCACTAAGACACGGTCCTGAGCTGTGGAACAAGACGGCTAAAGCGTTAGCCATCTTGTTAGCCGCTAAGGACTGTATCTTTAGAGATATGATCAACTGCTGATTTATTCATGTTGCGCTTCCTCTCTCTGTTCCTCTAAAAGGCACAGCACGGCTGAATGAGTCTGACCCGTGGTTTATTTCAGGGACGGAGACCGGTCTGTCAGACCTGTAGATTCACGGTTCAGAGTGGAGGCTCACTACCTGAGTTCACACATGCTCAAATTCCACTCTGCTGTTTTTAAATGGTGAAAAAAAAGATTTGTAGTTCCGACCTTCAATCCAAACCATCTCCAAAAGAACAGTCAAGATTTTTCATTTTGTTCAGCAGCTAATCTGCTCCGTGTTTACTTCTGCTAAACGTCTCCTCTCCTGCCCGCCCACCTCCTGGAGAAGCAGGAAGGAGGGGAGCACGCCTGAGGGCTGTGTGTTTGTGTTCAAGGAGGGAGGAGGGGGGCCAGTGGGAGAAGGAGACAGCACGAGGATTTCCAAGTATAAAACTATATTGTTTTATATTGATATAGTCTCAACTTATATCGCCCCCCCCCCCCCAAAAAAATAAAAAAATAAAAAATTATTATATATATATCAATATTTTACAAATATTGATATATTGCCCAGCTCCAGAAGGTGTTTCTTTATGACACAAGGTCAGAAATGAGGTCAGAGGTAGGGAAAGTCAGCCAGACGGAGATCCTGTAGTCCAACGTACCTTTGCTCTAGTCAGGCTGTTGTAGAGTCTCAGCTGGGGAACTTCTGTTCCTGCTGGTGGAGACCACACAGGCTGAACCCGCTTCCCTTTCACTGAAACAAATTCACACCATCAGATATTTGACATTTTCTATGACCTTCAAAAGTCTCCTTTAATTCTTCAGATAACAGATATAAGATTATCTTTAATCATGCATACACACATTTTTAAGATTTTAAATGGAATGTTAAAAAATTGAGAAAACGTGTGAATATTTGTTTAGTGTTATTATTCTCACTGTTGCTTTAAGTGAAAGTTGTATTAAAGTTTATTTTAAACCACCTCGTTGGAGCTAAAACGTAATTCTTTGTCAAGCTGTGTTATCTTGAAGTATTTTCCTCATTCATCTAATCCTGATGCTCGATGGCCACCATCCTGCATGTTTCAGCCATTTCTCTTCTTGGGCAAACCTGACCTGAATGGATGAGATTAGAAGGCCACTTCAGAACTGGAAGACCTGCCAAAGAGCAGGAAAACACCTACAAATGCAGGATAGTGGTCCTCAAAGACCAGGATTGGACACCGCTGGCTTACAGCCTTTTATAAAACTTTAGATGCATCAATAATGAAACTGTGGAAATGGATTCAGCCCAACAATAACTTCATGCCTACAGTTATTGGTTGAAACTTGGAAAGGGATGCTGAAAACCGGTGATGATGTAAAAACAAATCTTGGCCACACCAGATATGAGCTGAACAATTAATACACCATGTGTCTGCAGCTACATTAGTGGATACTAAAGCATGTACCGGTACTATGACTAACATTATTATTTGTTGACACTGTGCCATTTAAAAAGAGCATGAAGACGTGGGTAAAGATGGATGGATGGATGGATGGATGGATGGATGGATGGATGGATGGATGGATGGATGGATGGATGGATGGATGGACGGACGGACGGACGGACAGACGGACTCATTCTTTGGCTCAAGATGATGGCTGGCTCATCAGCAGCTTTAAGTTTTTAAAGATAAACGTGGTTGAACGGAGCTCGGAGATGCAGCTGGTCTCAGCTTAAGGCTTCTCATCGTTTGTTGCCAAACTCATCCAGATGCTGACCACACTGGGGTTCCTACAACATCTGGGTGTTTCAGAGGGAGTTGTCAGACTCATTAGGATTGTAGCAGTCAACCCTGAGTCAAGTCCATACGTCAGCCTGGTTGAGTGCCTCTTTGTTTGCACAATTTACAGGTGCTGGTCATAAAATGAGAATATCATGAAAAACTTGATTTATTTCATTTATTCTATTCAAAAAGTGAAACTTGTATATTATATTCATTCATTACACACAGACTGATATATTTCAAATGTTTATTTCTTTTAATGTTGATGAACTGACAACTAATCAAACCTCTAAAATCAGTATCTCAGAAAATTACAATATTACTTAAGACCAATAAAAAAAGGATTTTTAGAAATGTTGGCCAACTGAAAAGTATGGGCTACCGGTGCGAACACCTTCCTCATTAACATGAGGAAAGTTTAGAGGCTTTCGCCTCAGCCACTTGACAGCTGAACAATCGCTGTCCCTCCACTTGTACTCAGTGCTAACGCCAAAGAACAACTAGACCTGTCACGATAACAAATTTTGCTGGGCGATTAATTGTCTCAGAAAATATTGCAAAAAACGATATTGTTTGGAATTTGACAATAATTTGTAATTGTCAAATTTAAGAAGAAATGTTTTCTATCTTGTAGCACGGTGGCACAACTGGTAGAGCTGCTGCTTCTCAGCGAGAAGGTTGCCAGTTCAAATCCCGGTCCGGGGGCCTTTCTGGGTGGAGTTTGCATGTTCTCTCCGTGCATGCGTGGGTTTTCTCCGGGTACTCCAGTTTCCTCCCACAGACCAAAAACATGCATGTTAGAATGAATGGTAACTCTAAATTGTTCCCAAGTGTGAGTGAGAGAGTGAATGGTTGTTTGTCTCGTTTGTCTCTATGTGTCACTGTGATGGACTGGAGACCTGTCCAGGGTGTCCCCGCCCCTCGCACAGTGATTGCTGGACATGGGCACCGGCGACCCCTGTGACCCAAAATGGAAGAAGCGGGTAAAAGATAATGGCTGGATGGATGTTTTCCATCTTATCTTAAATTGTTCTGCGTGTAGTACCTTTTTCAGACCACCGGATGGCAGTATAAGACTGTTTGAACCGAAGGATGGATAGTGAGGGAGCAAGCAGTGTCTCCAAGATAAATGTGAGGGAGGCGCTGTGGTGTTTTGACAAACAGGTTTTGTTTCAAAATAACTCTGTATACAGCCAATAATGTCTAAACCACCAGCAACAAAAGTGAGTACACCCCTTAGTGAAAGTTCCTTAAGTTTCAATATTTTGTGTGGCCACCATTATTTACCAGAACTCTCCTGGGCATGGAGTTTACCAGAGCTTCACTGGTTGTCACTGGAATGCTTTTCCACTCCTCCATGATGACATCACGGAGCAGGCGGATATTCGAGACTTTGCACTCCTCCACCTTCCGCTTGAGGATGCCCCAAAGATGTTCTCTTGGGTTTAGGTCTGGAGACATGCTTGGCCAGTCCATCACTTTTACCCTCAGCCTCTTCAGTAAAGCAGTGGTCGTCTTAGAGATGTGTTTGGGGTCATTATCATGCTGGAACACTGCCCTGCCACCCAGTTTCCGGAGGGAAGGGATCATGTTCTGCTTCAGTATTTCACAGTACATATTGGAGTTCATGTGTCCCTCAATGAAACGTAACTCCCAACACCTGTTGCACTCATGAAGCCCCAGACCATGGCATTCCCACCACCATGCTTGACTGTAGGCATCACACACTTATCTTTGTCCTCCTCACCTGATAGCCGCCACACATGTTTGAGCCTATCTGAACCAAACAAATTAGTCTTAGTCTCATCAGACCATAGGACATGGTTCCAGTAATCCATGTCCTTTGTTGACATGTCTACAGCAAACTGTTATATATATATATATATATATATATATATATATATATATATATATCTTTCAAAGACAGCATATGTATGTGACGCTGAGTATGTGCACTCAGCTTCTCTGGACAACCAACGCGAGGTCTGTTCTGAGTGGACCCTGCTCTTTTAAAGTGCTGGATGATCTTGGCCACTGTGCTGCAGCTCAGTTTCAGGGTGTTGGCAATCCTCTTGTAGTCTTGGCCATCTTGATGTAGCACAACAATTCGTCTTTTAAGATCCTCAGAGAGTTCTTTGCCATGAGGTGCCATGTTGGAACTTTCAGTGACCAGTATGTGTGTGTGTGAGAGCTGTACTACAAACTTGAACACACCTGCTCCCTATGCACACCTGAAACCTAGTAACACGAACGAGTCACATGACATTTTGGAGGGAAAATGACAAGCAGTGCTCAATTTGGACATATAGTGTAGTCTCTTAGAGGTGTACTCACTTTTGTTGCCGGTGGTTTAGACATGAACGGCTGTATATTGAGTAATTTTGAGGGAAGTATAAATTGACACAGTTATATAAGCTGCACACAGACTAATTTTCATTGTGTCAAAGTGTCATTTTGTCAGTGTTGTCCCATGAAGAGATATACTTAAACATCTGCAGGAATGTAAGGGGTGTACTCACTTTTGTGATACACTGTAAGAAATGCACTTGGATTTATGTCTATTTATGTATTGGATCCAGGACAGTGGCCCCATACTGAAAGATTGTTTTGATCGAACAGACTGGCAGGTTTTCAGAGAAGCTGCTGAAAATGGAGGATCGCTTAATCTGGGCCAATACACATCCTCAGTTCTGGGGTACATTAGTACATGTACTGACACTGTCTCCACTATCAGATATGTTAAAAGTTACCCGAACAGAAAATCTTGGCTGAATGCAGAGGTGCGCACCCTGCTGGAAGTCAGGAACACTGCCTTCAGGTCTGGAAACTCAGAGGAGCTGAGAAGGACAAGGAAAGAGCTGGTTGCTGGTACTAAAAGGGCCAAGGCCACATATGCACGGAGGATCAAGGGTCAATTCAAGACCCACGCAGCATGTGGAGGGGCATTAAGTGTAAAACAGATTATAAAGGCAAGAGCGAACAATGCCCAAAGACCCATCACTGCCTGATGTCCTCAACAAGTTCTACGCACACTTTGAAGACCTGAATAGACCACCCAGCACCAGACTCACCTCATCACCAGATGAAGAGCATCTCAGCGTGACCTCAGCAGCAGTAAGGAGTACCTTCAGGAGGATTAATCCACATAAGGCAACCAGCCCAGACAACATCCCCGGGAAGGTGCTGAAAGAATGTGCCGATCAGGTCTACAGGTGCTGGCAGACATCTTTAACACCTCACTTACCCTGGAGACAGTTCCCACCTGCCTGAAGACTACCATCATCCCAGTCCCAAAAAGCTCTACAGTGACTGATCTGAATGACTATCAGCCAGTTACCCTCACCCAGATAGTAAAATGCTTTGAAAAACTGGTCATGACCCACATCAAAACAACCATCAACATAATCGAGGACCCTCATCAGTATGCATACCACGAGAACCAATCAACAGAGGATACCATCTCCTCTGTGGTTCACATTGTGCTCACTCACAATAGAAGGACTCCTACGTCCGTATGCTCTTTGTGGACTTTACATCCGCCTTCAACACTATAATCCCCCAAACCCTGATGGACAAACTATTCACACTAGGACTAAGCCCCTCCATTTGCAACTGGGTACTAGACTTCTTAACAAAAAGACCACAGTTAGTGAGGATCCACAACTTCTCCTCCACCATAACCCTCAGCACTGGCTCTCCTCAGGGATGTGTGTTGAATGAGTCCTCTCCTGTTTACTCTGCTCACGTATGATTGTGCAGCTACCCATCCAGGCTGTCACATTGTAAAGTTTGCAGATGATACAGCGGTGGTGGGATGCATCACAAACAATGATGAGTCCAGCTACAGGCAAGAGGTGGAACACCTGGAGAGCTGGTGCAAAGAGAACAACCTTCACATCAATGTAAAGAAGACAAAGGAGATGATTGTGGACTTCAGAAGGAACAAAAACACCTACACCCCCTGAACATAAGAGGATCTGCAGTG